TTTTTGAAATCCTTCCAACACCAAGAGGTGTTTGAAGGATTTCGGCACGCGCGCGCGACGACGCGCGCGCGTGCGCACTTCGTGCAATTTGTTGCGAGGGATTCTTGAACACCTATGATGTTTGATGAACGAGTGCGCGCGCATATGATTTTTTGAAGTGGATGGCGGGGGGGGGCGATACCGATTGGGCTGGCATGGTATGAACTCATAGTTAGGATGGGCGATGGGGCAGAATCGTATGTACATTGCAACGCGAAAAGGGGAGCCGATAATCTTTGGGGGGTGTCGGAGTGAGCAAGGCGGCCGTCCTTCGGGGGGTGTCTTGATTAATTATCCATGTTAGTACGCACGCCATTCCCCAACTCTACGAGCCCATAGCCTGGGCCAGCGCCGACGCCCCCGCGCCATCACTGAGAGCCTGTCAGAAAACAAAACGGCATGGCATGCGCCTGCGTCAAATCCTGGAGCATGCTCGGGCGTCTCGCGATCACTTTACCTGTTTTAGGGGTGAGGGGAAAGGCGCTGGGGTGCTAGCACATTGCCCACCCGTGCGCATGCCCACCATGTGTGCCACAAACAGATGCGACACGTACTTTGCGGCGAGATCTGGGACTGTGGGCGGGCACCACGCAGTCATTTTGCATTGCCATTTGGCACGCATGATAGGGGGTGCCGTGGCACGCGCAGTGCACCTTGCGGGCGTGGCGCGCATAGCTGGCGTGCGCATTGGTTCCCGATGATTGTCAATGTCGGCCCCTGCCAATGCTGAGATTCTGGTACAGCTGATGTGTTGGGAGGGCGGGTGGGACAGAATGGTACGGTTTGCGGCTTGAGTAGCTTCGCCCCTCCGTCTACCCCGTCCCATGGGTCTGTAGCAGGCGGGGGATGGAGGGGCTCGAGTCCATTTCCACCCAAGATGGCCTCCCAAATGGCGAAGTGTGGCCAGCGTTTGACGAACATTGCGTCCACCATGCATTCAACGGCCCACGCGATGCGTCCAAGACGGCCTCCAGGGGCTCCGAAGCCTCCAGCAGATGTTCCTACGAGGCCAACAACATTCAACAATCCACGGCTTTTCAGGTAATTCGAATGGTTTCCTTCGTCTTCTCTAGCGATGGGCTTCTCCGGCCTCATGGTGGCCCCAAGACCACGTACAAAAACCCAGGGAGGGCACAGAAAAGCCTCCAGACGGGCCCAGGAAACAACCAAGCACGCCCCCAAAGCGTGCCAAGGCGTCTTCCGACATCTGCTCTCCAGGGTGCCGTCGGATATCTATCGTCGGCGACAAGGATATTCTCCTCTGGTATCTGCACCCGCGATGCTCCACTGCACATCGCCGCTGCCTCGATTTCGGCGGCGTCGGTATTGCGAGTGTGCACCGTTCAGTTGGGACTCCAAAGTGGGTGCGTGCGATCACGTTCGGGTTGCGGGCCAAACGCTCGAGCTAGCAATGCGTGGGCCAGAAGTCCCAACAAGCACTCCGTCCGACAACACGCAGTCACCCACAGAAATGTCTGCTAACAGAACCACATACCAAAAAACACCCTTCGGCTACATCTGAACCGAGAGCTGCGCAAAAAGACGCACGATGCGACCGAGGAACAGAGACCTCGTGCCCGCCGCGCGAGTGGGATCGCGCACAGTGGCCACGCGGGCGAACAAGGGGTGGCGGCGCGTCGATCGCCCGCGGCCCGCAGAATCCACGTCGAGGGGCCCAGGCGGGCCGACAAACACTGCCCCACGCACAGCGGGACAGTTTGTTTTGTAGCTGGCCCGGATGTTGTAGCCACCCCGGTCCAGGTCATGAACAGATACGGTAGTCACACACTTCGAACCCCCAAGGCGGCGACATGATTGTGCAGCCACCAGCAATTGTTTGTGGCCAGCGTGCAGCTATGTGTACAGTCGGCAAGTGTAGCAAGGATGCGCGACAAGTATGCAAGTGCCTTGGACGCCCTGTCTGAAGCTTGCCGATCGGGGCGCGGCCAGCGAAAGTGGCCAAGAATGGTCCGAGGAGGCAAGGATGCAAGGGTACCCTTGGGAAGGTTGCCCATCCTTACGATGCGGGCTGACTGTAGCCATTGTTGTGGGCAGTGTGTTTTACCCCTGCAGGCGCCTTTCCCTCCCTCCCCCACCAGCCCCTATGCTTTAATCCAAGCGCGCAGGAACGCACGACGCAGCCACCGCTGGCGCGCAAAAAAGAACTTCTGCGTAGCGGGCGCGTTGCGCGATACCAGCAGGCGCACGGTCCTCCCTAGAATACGATCTCATCGGGGTACAACGTACATGCACATACAGCTTGTAGATTGCGTTTCTAGATTAGGAGCCAGCAAAACAAAGTAGGCCAGTCTCCTCTCCAAGGCTCCTGCTCAGGCAACGTCGCAACGAGTTACTTGAATTCGCAACGTGTTCTGGAAACGGTTTCAGACTCCTTCCCAATACGCGTGCCACAAGCCTTTTCGCAGCTCCGTCGAAGCTCTTCCTGGGTTCCTGCGAAGCTCCTTTCTCAAGCTTGACAGCTCCCAAACAACCTTTCAAACGTTCTTGCAAGCGTATCCTACAAACTTTCACGCGCTTTGGACTGCCCCGTTACCTGGGTTTGGGTCAACAAAAGTTTGCAGACGGCCAAAAGTTTGCAGACGGCGTCTCTGATCCTTTAAGAGAAGGAAGATTTGACAACAGGTCATTACGGAGGAGGATCACGAGGACGAGGGGGATTGGCCCCCCTCTCCATCTCGGGGCATGGGGTCAAGCCCACCTGACACCATCAGGAGCCTTGTGCAGATCTTCTAGGTCCATCTGGGTCTGATCGGGGACGCGCTGAACCAGGTTATAGCGCGCCCAGGTCAGCCAAATGCATTCCCCACAACCTGGGCCAGCCACGAAACGAGCCCCAAACCCGGGCACACGAAACACGAAACGAAGCGAAAGCCACGGAGCACGAAACGAAGCGAAAGCCACGGAACACAAACGGGCCCAGCTACGGAACACGAAACGAAGCGGAGGGATGGGAGGAGGGATCGGCTCCACTTGGCTCCAGAACCCCGGTGAGGTAGAGAAGAGCGGACGGGACCAGTCGACCTCCGCTTCGCGCGCCCCGATCTGAACTCGGACGCCCTGTGATGCCCTCGAGGGGACCACGCCGCCTTCAGGAAGGGCCCCAACAAGGGTCCCACTGGCGGCCACGGGCACAACCGCCGCGTTTGTCGCCGTCGTTGCCGTCGATGAATAATAGGAGGAGGGGGGAGGGGGAGGGGGAGGGGGAGGGGGAGGAGGAGGGGGAGGAGGAGGAGGAGGAGGAGGAGGAGGAGGAGTAGGAATCCGCGTCGTCGTCGTCGCTGTCGTTGCCGCCGCCGCCGTCGTGCCGTCGTCATTTTCGTCGTCGTCGTCGTCGCCGCCGCCGCCGCCGCCGTGGTCGTTGTGGTGGTGGCGGTCGTCGTCCCCGTCGCCACCTGGACCTGTCGTGGGGCGAGTCCCGGCTTTGGCTCCTCGCCGACGCGACGAGCTCCCTCAAGAGTCCCAGACATGTCAGGGAAACTTCGGCATTTTTCCGTTGCCTTCTACTACTCTCGCCGTCGTCGTCGTCGTCGCCGCCGTCACCTTCGTCGTCGCCGTCGTCGCCGTCGTCTGGCCGCCACCGCCACATTCGTCGTCGTCGCCCTGCGTCATCCTCGTAGTGACGCGTGACGCGCGTCGCCACGGTCCGCTTGAGGGTCGTCGTCGTCGTCGGAGTGTGGAAGACAGATGAAGGAGGATGATAGGAAGTTGGAAGGAGGGAGGGAAGAGAGAGGGAGAAGTCAAGCTAGGTGCGCTCGCGCAACATCTGACATCCGACCCCTCCCTCACATCCCTTCACATCGCGTTGATGTTTCTCTATCCGCCAACGGGTGTCAGAACGGACCCCACCGTGTTGCGGACCCCACCGTGTTGCGCGCAATCTGGAAAGGGGAGCTTTGTACAATGGAGGAGGATGTGCCAGATGAGCAGGAGGATGAGCAGGAGGAAAGGGAGAAGCATGAAGAAGGAGGAACTGCAAGGAGGAACTGCAGCAACAGGAGCAGGAGGAGCAGGAGGACCAGAGGAAGGCGGGGGAGGAGAAAGGACGGTTGCGACACGACGAGGCACCACTCGGATCCACAAGTGTGACCCGCGCTGGGGCGAGAGTGCCATTTCGAGCAACGGGAGCAATGCGCCGATCATTGCATGAGGCCAACGCTGAAGCGGGAGCGCCATTTTACAAGGGCCGAAGATGTTTGGATTGGACAAACACATGAGAACAACAACTCGGCACCATCCTGCACGTAAACAAAACGCAGATGGGTGGGCGTGCCACTATCAGGCCATCTTCGGGAAAGAGAGGAAAATAGCATTCAGATTGAAAGATCCTCAAGATGGGGGGGTGGAAGGGGATGGGAAGGGGGGGGGATGAAGGGAACAAGGAAGGAGAGGAGGGGGTGGGGATGCAAGTGAGCGGGAACGATCGGGGGGGACCGGCGAAGGGGGGGGGGGACACAGTGACGTGGAATCGGGGATACCTCGACGACATGTCGGCGATAGGCCCCCCCAATAGCGAAACCGCCCGTTATTGGGCGGGGTAGGTCGTGGAGGCATTGGCGACGGGGGGTCGGATTGGAGCAGCCATCCACTCGCCGTCGCTCGGACGTCCATTCCGTGCATGTTTGCGGTTTCGTGCGTGGTTATTTCGCCAAATGACCAAGCATGCTCCTCGATGTATGTTGTTCCCATCCTATTTTAAGGACCACATCCCAAACATAATTTCGAGCACCCAGAAAAGCGTCAAAAGAGTGTCGACGCAGTGCCGAAACAGTGTCGGGCGAGTGCCTCCCAGGGCCCGACACGCGAACACCCTCGAGATTCGGTACTATCTTTGGCCGCTCGAAAATTTTTCCTGGTGGTCAAGGCTAGAAGCAGGTTTGGAGCATCAGAATCCTCGATGGCCCTCGCCGAGGGAGTGATGTACACGCCCGAGCGATGCCGAGACCCACGGGAGCGAAGGCCACGACCCCGACGGCCGCAGCCCAGGGGCGCCCGGCCGCCCAGCGAGGGAGCACTTTCCACGGCCTCCGCCAGGACCTGCATCCAGATCGGGGAGACGTAAGACCCGGGTACGGGGGACTCGGAAATCCCCGACGAGGTCGTCAAAAAAATGGCGAGGCCGAGCCTGCGTTTTGACGAGGCCTCCCGCTGCAGACATCCCACGAAACTCCTCCTCGTCAAAATCCGAGGCGCGGTCGTCAAAAAACGATGGCGAACCCGAGTCCTGGCAAACCCCGGTCTTACGCTCCCCCGAAGAGAGCAGCACAAAGAGGGGCAACTTGGCACCGCTCGGACGTGTGCGCTTTTCTCGTGGCGGCGACCATCGAGGAGCCGTTCGTACACGTCGGTCGGAAGAAGCAGGTCGGAACCGCAAGTAGGAAGGCGGATGAAGTCGATTGGGTCCAGGTCCCCCCAGAGAGTAACAAAACACAGCAACAGCATGTCGATCATTGAAGTAGGAAGGCGCTTGAAAAAAATTGGGATCTGGGAATCCAAAAATACCTACTTTCAACGACCGGCAACTTGGCATCGCTCGGACGTGTGCATTTTCTCTTGGCGACGACCATCGAAGAGCACTCGTAATCATCCAGCGAAAGATACGCGCACGACATCGAGAAACGCACGTGGAATGGACGTCCGAGCGATGGCGAGATAAGGGAATGGAGAATTCTCACTGACTGGATGAATTGAGGGGGGACCGACCGTCCCGGCATTCCGAAAGGCCTACCACGACATGTCCTAGAACCCCCAAGCTGTCCTAATAGCAAAACAAATGTTCTTAGAACATAAGCCCGATGTGTTAAAACAAGACAGTCCCAGCCAGAAGTGTTCTAAGAACATGTCGTGCAACACATAAAAGGTACGTAGAACATTCTTTGTCAGGCCTATAGGCACGCCAAGACGCTTCGCCACTGCTTGATTGAAGAGGAGCCGTCGCCGTCGCCACCGCTGGCGCTGGCGGGTCCCGCGGGCGGTCGCAAGCACAACGAGGGGTGGCCCCCGAGCCGGCGGATGCGCAGCAGCCTGCCGCCGCCACCGCTGTCGTAGGAGACGCCGCCGACGCCAACGACGACGACGACAACGACGACGGCAGAGTCCTCTTCCTCCTCCTCCTCCTCCTCCTCCTCCTTCCCCTCCTCCTACTGCTACTACTACGACTACTGCGACTACGACTACGACTACGACTACGACTACGACTACTACTACGACGACGACGACGACGACGACTCATTCTCCTCCTCCTCCTCCTCCTGCTGCTGCTGCTTGTACTACTACTACTACGACTACTACTACTACTACTGTTACTACTACTACTACTACTACTACTACTACTACTACTACTACTACTACTATTACTACTACTACTACTACTACTACTACTACTACTACTACTACTACTACTACTACTATTACTACTACTACTACTACTACTACTACTACTACTACTACTACTAGTAGTACTAGTACTAGTACTACTAGTACTAGTACTATACTAGTACTAGTACTAGTACTAGTACTAGTACTAGTGCTAGTGCTAATGCTAGTGCTAGTACTAGTACTAGTACTAGTACCTACTACTACTACTACTACTACTACTACTACTACTACTACTACTACTACTACTACTACTACTACTACTAACCACTACTACTTACTACTACTACTACTACTACTACTACTACTACTACTACTACTACTACTACTATACTACTACCACTACTACTACTACTACGACTACTACTACTACTACTACTACTACTACTACTACTACCACTACCACTACCACTACCACTACCACTACCACTACCACTACTACTACTACTACTACTACTACTACTACTACTACTACTACTACTACTACGAATACTACGAATACTACTACTACTGCTACTCGTCCAAGCAGCACAGAAGCGACGACGAAACTGGACAATTACACGACTGACAGAAGACGACGGAGGAAGACGACGGCGGCGGCGGCAGCGGCGGCCGACGAATAGGAGCGGCCCCAATCTCTTGGGGGGAGGAGGGGAGGGGTGGACGAGGGAGGGAGGGAGGCAGGAGACAGGGAGGCATCCTCTCGGGGCGGAGGAAGAGGGGAGGTTCGTGAAGGGGTGCCCAGCATTCCAGCTGCAGGCAGCTGGGTCTCTCAACGCCTCCCGGGCGCCAGGAGCGACTGGAGCGTCGAGGAACGTGCTCGGCGGCGGGGCCGAAGCGGGCTTCGCCCAACAACTCTCGTCATAACTTCCTCATTTCTAAATTGTCTCCCGTCCTCTGGTCCGCCACGGCACTTCGGGGCCCCAAAACCGTGTGGTGACGGACCGCGCGGTCCGTCGCCGCACGGTCTTTGCCCCGAAGGCTCCAATGGCCCGAGACTTCCTCGGAGAACGACCCGAGTCCCACAACGGTGCGGTGACCCCGAATCCCCATTGACTCACCACGCGGTATGGTCAGCACACCGGTCGGGGGCCCCCGAAACACCATCGCTGGTGTCACCAACTGTGCCTGGGCCTGGCTGCCTTGCGGCAGAGGTGCGGGATTGGCCTCGGTGGATGTGTGCACCCGCAGCGCTCGCGGGTGCTTTCGTCTGCCCAGATCCTCCTCCTCCTCCTCGTCCTCGCTCTCGTCCTCCTGCTGCCCTGCCCCTCCTCCTCCTCCTCCTCCTCCTCCGCCTCCTTCTCCATGTGACCTCGTCGTTGGTCCCATTGCCATTCCCCCTCCTCCTCCTGCCCCTCGCCCTCCTCCTGCCCCCCCCCTCCTGCTCCTCGCGCCCGTGCCCCGGCGGACGCCACCCCTGCCACTGCCGCTGGCCCCCCGGTGCGCGTCCCCCCGCCCGCCGCCCGCCTGCCTGCGGGCCGCCCGCCTGCCAACCCCCACCAGTGCGCCGAGCCCTGCCAGCCGCTGCCGACTCTACGTGGATGCGCCCGCTGGACGCTACATAGGCGCGTCCGACGTCGACGACGACGACGACGATGACGACGGCGGCGGCTGTGGCGGCGAGGACGGCGATGGCGACGGCAACGACGACACGGCGACGACGACGAAGAGGACGACGACGACGACGACGACGACGACGACGATGACGACGGCGGCGGCTGCGGCGGCGGTGACGACGACGACCGACGACAGCGATGACAATGACCACGGCGATCAGTGATCCAGTGAAAACGTAGAGTAAGGACGCGTTGACTGTAAGGAGACCGCAGTGACGACGGCGATGACGACGACAGCAATGGACGGGGGCGATGACGGCGGCGGCGGCGGCACCCCTCCCCGGGACCTGTGCTGGATGGCGGTCTGGGAGGCTGCAGCCGTGGCGACGGGGGCGCCCCCGCAGAGGCAGGAATGCACGGACGAGCTGTCTTTATTTGCGTTTTTCGGACTTGGAACCTCGTCTTAAGTCGGGCGTGTCCCCCTACAGGGGGATTTTCGACAAAAAAGCAAATACCCCGAAAATAATCAAAAAATAATGCAAAAATAGTCTGGGGCCTATTTTGGGGGTATCTTTTCACCTTTTTGGGGAATTTTTGGTGTCTTGTTCGTCGAAAACCTCTCTGTGGGGGGACAGGCCCGACCTAAACCTCCCTGGCAGGCGCTCCACATCCTCGGCCCCCGATCTCGGAGACAGTGGACGACGACGTCGCACCGCCTTGGCTGCCCCGCCCCGCAGAAGTCCACTCGGAACAGGGGCACCTCCCGGCCGGCTTTCCGAGCCGCGTCCAGCCCGCGGCGGGGCCTCGCCGGAGCTCCCTCGAGATCCCTGGTGTTCCCTGGAGTTCGTCGGACTTCACAGGACATCGTCGGAGTTCGCTGGGGCTCCCTGTGCTTCGCTGGCGTTCGCGGGGGTTCGCTGGACTTCGCTGGCGCTCGTCGGGGGTCCCAGGAGCGCCTCCCAAAGCCTCCACGACGTTCGCCGTCGTTGTCGTTGTCGTTGTCGTTGTCGTTGTCGTTGTCGTTGTCGTTGTCGTCGTCCACGTCGTCGTCGAAAGTCGTCGTCGTCGAACGTCGTCGTCGAACGTCATCGTCCTCGTCGTGGCCGCCGTCGTCGTCGTCTGCGGCGGTGGCGAGCGCCTGGGCCCCAGCGCAATCGCCGCCTCGCGCGGGCTCGGCGCCGGGCAGTGCCGCCCGAAGCACGCCAGCGCGTCGGGGCTCCTGCGGCGGCGCGCAGAGGGCGTCGTCCTCCTGCTCGTCCTCGTCGTCGTCGTCGTCATCGTCGTCGTCGTGCGCCTCCTCCTCGTCATCCTCCTCGTCATCCTCCTCGTCGTCCTCCTCCTCCTTCTCCTCCTTCTCTTCCTCCTCGTCTTCCTCTTCCTCTTCGTCCACCTTCTCGCCCTCCTCCCTACGATGGGGGGAGGGCTTGCTAGCGAGCATCGCTTCACCGGTCCCCATCCCGACGGGTATGGTCCTGCCCCCTCCTGGCCGATTTATCCCTCCAGGTGGGGATGTGTGATGTTCCCTTCGGGTTTCGCGGGCCTGCGAGAGGAGCTCGACCACAATGAACCTTCCAAAATAAACCCAATCCTGAGACCGACCCCAGGACGCTCATTGATTTTTGGTGCGAGAGCGTCACGTTTTTTCCATCGCGAAACCATCGACCCCGCACAAAAAAACAGGGCACCCTAGAGGCAAGCAGGGTGTTTCTTGGCATCTGTGTCCACTGTACCCCCTCCTGCGGGGTGGGCTGGTGGGGCTGAGATCCGGGACCGTTCCCCCTGGCACATAGAGGCGTGGTTGAATGTCAAATACCGTCTTGTGAAATTCCTGTAACCTCTCCCTCACCACGGAGTTCCGCGTTCACCGTCCCCCCTCCGGTTGCCACGATCCCATGTGAAAAACAAGAGGTCCGCGCTCCTGGGTCATCCTGGAGCCACGAGAATCCTCTCAAAAAGCGATGCATCCACACTCACGAGGTCACGAACGCTCTTCAAAACAAATAATCGACCCTTCCTTGGCCATGTTCCGCTTTAGCAACTACAGCCGGGGCGTTGACCTAAGGAACCCTAAATAAGGAACGAGGCACCTATTTCCATCAGTTGAACTTCGATTTCATATCGAAACCCTTAGCAAAACCAAAGGCGAACTGCAACACAACTAAGGAACACCGAGCCCCTCCCCAACGAAAAGGGTTCCTTCCTCAGGGCCCCGACTGTATGGATCCGCGCTCCCGAGCTTCAAAGAGGGCCGAGGCAGGCAACCCACGCCGCCAGTGTAGCCAAAGATGCCTCCAAGATGGTAGCCCCAAGGCGGCCTAAGATAGCCTCAAGACGGCCCAAAAGGGCCACACGAGGATCCTCAGCAGGGCCCAACGAAACCGAAATCATATATATATATATATATATATATCCGTAGTCTGTTTCAACGATTTGGGCGTCTTCACCTGTTCGGAATCCCTGCAGCTCCAGACGGTCCTGGAGGCCTCCAAGATGGCCCCTAGACGATCCAAGAAAGCCCCGAAGTGGCTCAGTAACCCTCCAAGACTCCTTCAAGACAGTCGAAGACGGTCGGACGGCCCAAGAGAGCCCCAAGCTGATCCAAGATTCAGTGGGTCCCTGAAGTGGTAGGGCCGTTTTAAACCGTTTCCGAAAAAATGTCTCTTGAAAATGGAAGCGGCAACAAAAACGGCAAGAAAACGGCTCAAGGATGGGAACCCAAACAGGAACCGGCAACACAAACGGCGACGAAACCGGTAACAAAAAATGGCGTCGGAACTCAGCGCCCCTCAAACGGGGACTCCACTAACGGGTACTTTGGCCAGTGACCCAGCGAACCCAACCCTTCCCGATGTGGGCAAAGCTGCAATGCAAGAAAAAGGCCCTAAAGTGGCAACTTTCGGCAACATTTCAAAGTACCCGTTAGTAAGTACCCGTTACGGTGCCGTTGAGGAACTGGCTCACAACACAAACCGGAACTGGTCACAAAAAACGGCCCTGTGATTTCCAGGGCCCACTAAGACCCAAGAGGGCCTCCGGATGAGCCCTAGGCGGCCCGAAAGAGCCCATCGCCGGCCAAACACTGCCCCCTCAGACGGCCGCACGCGAACGCCGAGGCGGCCGGGAGGGCCCCGAGGCGACCCTGGAGAGCACCAAGACGGCCCAGAGAGGCCAAAGGGACCCCCCCCCGAAAGACTGCCCCTCATAGGAGGGCACCGACTATACACCGACACCGCTCCTGGCCAGGATCACCCTGGGCCCAGGATCGGTGTACACGCCCTCCTGCCTGGGGCAGGAAGGCCTGTACACCGACCGCGGGCCCAAGATTGGCCTGGCCAGGATCGGTGTAGGTGTAAGAACCCGAGAGAGGAGGAAGAAGGGGAGGAAGACGAGAAGAGCATCTCTGACACGACGGGGAGATCGTGTCGCATGTTACGGCCCTCCCATCAGGGGGAACCGTAGTATAAGACATACCTCTTGGGTGTTGCTAGAAGTGCCCCTGGCCCAAGGTACCCCCAGCCTTTCGCTCCATTTTGGAGCCCCTGGGGCCCTCGGGGCCTCGTGAGGTGTGCCCTGGAGGCCATCTGGGCCACCCCGAGAATCCTGGGGGTACCTTGGGCCAGGGGTGCTTCTAGCAACTCACGAACCTCCTGGCCCCTCTCCCTCGCGGCCCTCCTCTGGCCCCTCTCCCCCCGCGCCCACCGGTCCTCTCGTGCCTCAATTTGCTCCAGTGCGTCCTGCCGCTGCCCACAAACCTGAAGATGCCCTGGGACACACAAATAAATAGACACAAATAACAGGATTCCCCATGTTGTTTCATATGTTCTCGGTTTTTGCCTTCCACCTTCTTCCCATATTTTCCTATATTTTCTAGGGAATAGACGATTCATTGTATCTGTGTGTTTTTCTCCCTCCTGAAAACCGTCTGATCCCTTACGGCTTGGAACTGGCAGCTGGGTGCCCTGGGCCAGTGGGGACGGGAACCAGTCAGACGATGCTGATCTAAGGTGGCGAAGTGCTTCTCGGAAGCCCTCCCGCCTGCCAAGCAGAGCTCTTCAGAAACCTCCGAGCCTCCCTCAGAAGCAAGCGCAACCCTGCCTTCGCACTGGCATAACACATGCAGGAAACAAATCCTGGTGGAAACGGGTACCACCGCCTCCTCCGGGACACACGTTCCATCCCTGATCTTCTAGGGGGCTAGGGGAGGGCTCCAGGAGCCCCCAAAACACCGCCCGAGCACGTTCGATTCTCGATCTTGATGCGCTCACCCCCAACCACTGCGTGAGGGGGAACGATAAGGGCACCGTCACGGGGGGGGAACCATTAACCTGGAATCGGCCATCCATCGTCGATGCATCGGCGACATGCTCTCAACAACGACGAAGCCGCACGCTCCCGAGCGAGGTGGACTATCAGGCCCCTGTCGGCGATAAGTGGGCGTTTGGGGGGCGAATGCATGCCCCCCTGAGCCCAGCCCCCCTGATGTCGCCCTGTGGTTTTCGGGCGGCATCGGCTCCACGGTGGCCCTTCGGGACGATCTGGGCACCACCCGAACGCCCTCGGCGAGGCGCAGAGGACATCCCGAGACTGGAAGGCCGCCGAGGACAAGGGAAACGTCTTGGGGGCGCGCAAACACGGATTGACGATCCATGGACTTGGCGCGCGGTCGCCAAATCCATGGATCGGGGGAGGTGCCCTCCTCAAAATGCGGCCGGTGCCGCCTGGCTTGGCGGCGGGAATCCGCGGTTTCTCATTGAAGCGTGACCCGTCGCTAATCCACGCCCCCTTATAGTCCATGTTTGCGATTGCCTGAACGTCCGAAAACCTCGGGCCTCGAACCGCGAACCTGTCCCCCTACCGTTGCCATTTGCCTCCCCCCTCCACCCCACCTCACGCGGGCCTTTGGGGGCTCGACGCGTTCTCCCGTGGGCCTACATAAAGAAAAACTGCATGCAGGGGAGGCCCGACCACAAGACACCTTCCACAAGAAACCCAACCCTGAGACCCCAGGACGTCCATTGATTTTTGGTGTGGGAGCGTCACGCCTTCCACGGCAAAACCATCAAACCCAGGAAACCCAGGGCACTGGCAAGCAAGGTGTTTCTTGGCATGGGCCCCCGCTGAAAAACATGAACTGTTGGAAGTCCGCGCGGGTGTCCTGGATCTGCGTTGGACCGAGGCGCCGGAGGGGGTCCAGCGCAGATCCGAGGGAAGTTTACGTTTCTTCGCTTTTTCCTGATTCGGCTATTCCCACCATACCGCTACCTCTTACCAACCGCCCAGAAATCATCTCCGAGACCGCCAACAGGGTCCCCAAGAGGCCCTCAAGGCCCCATAGGCCCCGAAGAGGCCCCAGAAATGTCTCCGAGATGCCTCCAGCAGGCTCCCCCCTAGACCCTGAGACTGCCTGCCTGCCAGACCACCCCGACCTGACCCGAAGACCACAATCTCGGGTTGGGAGGACAATGGGCTGCTGGGCAGCGCTCTCCGACGCGCACCCCCCCCCGCCCCCCGTCCCGAATGGAGGGCAAATTTGGGTCTTCGGGTGGGTTCTGGTACAGTCGGGCTGCTGAAAGAAGGAACGCTAAAGAAGGAACGAAACCCCACGCCTGGCTGCAAAAACGCCTGGGTGCACGAGAAAGGCTAGAGGAACAATCAGGGAAGGACGCAAGGAACATCGAGCCCCTTCCGAATCCAACCTGTTCCTTGTTTCAGCGTCCTGGCTGTAGCTTGGTGGGTGGCGAAAGCCCCCACCCCCCCCCACCCCACCCCGCGTGGCGCCCGCAACCCACCTCAGCCCGCGGGGGGGGGGATCCCGGCGCCCTCGTCGGCCGCGCCGCTCGCGAGCGGCGGGTCCTCGCCACGCCGCCGCCGCCGGGATCAGCAGCGAAGGAGGGCGTCGCCGCCGCTCGTCGTCGTCGTCGTCGTCGTCGTCGTCGTCGTCGTCGTCGTCGTCGTCGTCGTCGTCGTCGTCGTCGTCGGCGTCGGCGTCGGCGTCGGCGTCGGCGTCGGCGTCGGCGTCGGCGTCGGCGTCGGCGTCGGCGTCGGCGTCGGCGTCGGCGGCGGCGTCGGCGGTGTCGGCGTCGGCGTCGGCGCCGCGGCCCGCCGCCGCGCCAAAGCGGCGGAGGCACGTCTGCCGCCGCCCCGGTGACAGAAACGGAGTGCCTCAGGGCTCGGGGTATAACCAGCTTCGAACCTATCCCTATCCCTAAGATGGGCGAGCAAAAAGCGAGGACAATCTCAGGGATAGGCCCTCAGACACTGAGGGAATCCTTGAGATCGGCATCGAGGTGAGGTGATGTCAAACATAGGGATAGGGATATGTTACAAACTGGTAAGGGTAAGCGCTGTGTTTCGTTCTCGTGCTGTTTTCGGTGTTCCTTCGCGCTGTGCTCGTCCTGCCTGTGCTGCGACACGGAACAGCAACGAGAGCGGTCCGGGAACTCGCCCGAACACCGTTGAGCCCGAGCCCTGGAATGCCTGCCGCTCTTCAGTCGGGTGGCGCAGCGGAGTCACCTTTGCCACCGAAACTTCCCCAACTGCCCAGGGCTGGACATCACAGCGCTCGTTCGACGTCACCGCCTGGCCTTCGAGTAGGGAATCGACTACAAAATTTATTCCCCAAAATTCATCTCTCGGCCGAAGCTACAAAGAAAAAACGTAATCTGTCCCATGCAAGCCACCTCTGCCACCTCGTTCGACCTCGCCCTGCCTTTATCATCCGAGCGATGCATCTCGCCTTGTGAGTGCCCTCCGCTCCCTTTTTCTTGCCTTCCCGCGGCCGCCCGCCTGTTCTCTCGCGCCCCTCCTCTTGCCGCCGGTCAATTAGCGCTTGCCTCTTCCCGGCCCGCTCGAACGCGCGTGCGGACTGCCTCTGCCACGCTGCGACGTAAAACGTACAACCAATGGTCGCCCGGGGCGGTCTCGTCGCAATCGGCGGTGGACAAACCCCCCTTTAGTAGACCTCCCCTTCGTGAAAACGACCTGGGACCGAAATCGACGGACCTGGACCCGCAAAATGACGGCTGCGACGCCCTCTCGCGAACCGAAAACGGCCAGTTCCTTAATCGACGTGTCAGGGTAGGAGGTCTGTCCACTCCCGACACAATCCGCCTTCTCCGGTGGCGACCCCTGGGGCGCTCCGTCCCCAAGCGTTGGCGTGTCGATGGGACTGCTCTAGCCTGCCTTGGGTGCCCTCGTCAGGTGGGCCGTCTGAGCGCCACCCCCCACCCTCTGGCCATCGCTCGGACGTCCATTTCCTGCGTTTTTCTCCCAACCCTCCTGCGTTGGGTTCTCGTTTTGAATACAACACTGCTCGCGCGAACCTTCCTTCCTTCCTTCCCGTCCCTCTCTTCCCCCCTGCCTTTGACCTCGCCATCCCTGGGGGGCTGCGATATGTGAAACTGTCGCCACTTTCGAGGCCTGCTGGGGGGCCCAGCGCAGTGGGTACCCACCGCAGACTCAAATTAGACCTCGCCATCCCTGGGGGGCTGCGATCGGTTAAGCTGTCGCCACTTTCGAGGCCTGTGGGGGGCCCAGCGCAGTGGGTACCCACCGCAGACTCAAATTAGACCTCGCCATCCCTGGGGGGCTGCGATCGGTTAAGCTGTCGCCACTTTCGAGGCCTGCTGGGGGGCCCAGCGCAGTGGGTACCCACCGCAGACTCAAATTAGACGTCGCCATCCTTGGGGGACTGCGATCTGTGAAACTGTCGCCACCTTCGAGGGCTGCTGAGGGGCCCAGCACAGTGGGTACCCACAGCAGATTCAAATTAGACCTCGCCGACCCTGGGGGGCTGCGATCTGTGAAACTGTCGCCACTTTCGAGGGCTGCTGGGGGCCCAGCACAGTGGGTACTCACCGCAGACTCAAATTAGACCTCGCCATCCCTGGGGGGCTGCGATCTGTGAAACTGTTGCCACTTTCGAAGCCTGCTGAGGGGCCCAGCGCAGTGGGTACCCACCGCAGACTCAAATTAGACCTCGCCGTCCCTGGGGGGCTGCGATCTGTTAAGCTGTCGCCACTTTCGAGGGCTGCTGAGGGGCCCAGCACAGTGGGTACCCACCGCAAACTCAAATTAGACCTCGCCATCCCTGGGGGGCTGCGATCGGTTAAGCTGTCGCCACTTTCGAGGCCTGTTGGGGGGCCCAGCGCAGTGGGTACCCACCGCAGACTCAAATTAGACCTCGCCATCCCTGGGGGGCTGCGATCGGTTAAGCTGCCGCCACTTTCGAGGCCTGCTGGGGGGCCCAGCGCAGTGGGTACCCACCGCAGACTCAAATTAGACGTCGCCATCCCTGGGGGACTGCGATCTGTGAAACTGTCGCCACCTTCGAGGGCTGCTGAGGGGCCCAGCACAGTGGGTACCCACAGCAGATTCAAATTAGACCTCGCCGACCCTGGGGGGCTGCGATCTGTGAAACTGTCGCCACTTTCGAGGGCTGCTGGTGGGGCCCAGCACAGTGGGTACCCACCGCAGACTCAAATTAGACCTCGCCGTCCCTGGGGTGCTGCGATCTGTGAAACTGTTGCCACTTTCGAAGCCTGCTGAGGGGCCCAGCGCAGTGGGTACCCACCGCAGACTCAAATTAGACCTCGCCGTCCCTGGGGGGCTGCGATCTGTTAAGCTGTCGCCACTTTCGAGGGCTGCTGAGGGGCCCAGCACAGTGGGTACCCACCGCAAACTCAAGTTAGACCTCGCCATCCCTGGGGGGCTGCGATCTGTGAAACTGTCGCCACTTTCGAGGCCTTCTGAGGGGCACAGCACAGTGGGTACCCACCGCAGACTCAAATTAGACGCCGCTTTCGTCCTTGTGCTCCTCCTGCAGTCACCTTCCCTCTGCTGCTGCCGTGCTGATTGTTCGGCTTCCCGCACGTTTTTCTCCCGCTTTGCGTTCCCGACACCCCATGTCCTCTTCGAGCCTGTAGCTGTCGCCCCTCGTTCTTGTATGGTTATCCTGCGCATTATGCCATAGGCGCGTGTCCCAATTAGCTTACACATCAATTTGATTGTCCATGCAAGTTTCGGCCAACTCCTCGTTTCCATTGATACAAATGGGTTGGGTACGTCACAGGGAAATTTCGGCTTCGTGCGTGGTTTTTTTCGCGGAATGATCAAGGATGCTCCTCGATGGTCCGCGCCGAAGGAAAAATGCACACGTCCGAGCGATGCTAAGTGGCAGAAGGTCCCAACATGGAGAAGGGGAGGCGGAACCATGAGATCGGGGGCTCGAGGGCAGGGGGGGAGGAACCATGGTGTCTAGAGGCCCCCTAGATGGGGTCGGAGTAGACGGGGTCGGAAGATCGCGGTGCATCGCCAGCGTGGAGAACATCGGCCTCCACCTCGAGCCGCATCGCCGATGCACCGACGGTGTGGAGCGACCCTCCGACCCCATCTGATTGGACCCCATCTAGGCGGCCTAGAGTATCCTCCTCCGCCTCCTCCTCCTCCTCCTCCTCCTCCTCCTCCTCCTCCTCCACGATCCTCTATCATCCGTCTCGCCCCAAATCCTCGACCTCCTCGTCGATCGATCCCTCCTCCTCCTCCTCAACCCCCACCTCTCCTCCCTTCTCGTCACCTGGGGGAATAAGGAGATACTGACGTCGCCACTCTCCGGACCGATCCCTGTGCGACCTGTCCAAGGCTTCGAGGAAAATCCAGCCGCGGCGATGAGGGATGGGTATCGGTATATGGTAAAGCTTTCGGCTTGCGCAAAGACAGCCTCCCAAGTCTCGGCTGGCCTCAGCAGGCCCCCCGAGTAGCCCCTACTAGCCTCAACAGGCCCCCCGGACTAGCCCGGGGCGGTCGCAGCACTCCAACCCTGGGGTGCGGAGCGCCCCAGAGGCGGCGCCAGGGGCGGCGCCAGGGTGTTGAGGCCAGCTGGGAGAGCGCGGGAGCCTGCTCAGGCCAGCTGGGACTATTTGGGGGGCCTGTTGAGACAAGCCGGGACTACCTGGGGGCGGGCTGTCTGCGCGCACCCCGAAGCCTTTCTGTTATGTCGGGCGTGTCCCCCCACAAACGGGTTTTGGAATAGAAAGTTGATCACACTGGAGAAAGGCCCCAATCATAATCTTCTTAGGGCTATATAGGGCAAATTGTGGGGCTACAGGGCTATAGGGCTATCGGGCTATCAGGCTATAGGGCTATCAGGCTATAGGCATATGTAGAGCTATAGGGTTATAGGGCTATAGGGTCATAGCGCTACAAGGCTATAGGGCTATGAGGGCTACAAGCCCAAGGGCTATAAGGGCGATATGGCTAGAGGGCTATAGGGCTGTAGGGCTATAGGGCTATAGTGCTATAGGGCTACAGGGCCATGGGGCTATCGGGCTATAAGGCTATTGGGCTCTAGGGCTATGGGGTTATAGGGCTATAAGGCTATTAGGGCTAAAGGGCTATAGGGCAATAGGACTACAAGGCTATAAAACTATAGGAAAACTATAGGGCTACCGGGCACCTGGGCACCCAGGCCTCCGGGCACCCGGGCCAGGCACCGAAATTGGCGGCGAGCCTCACCTAACCAGTTGAATCCGCTAGGACCCCTACAGAGGCAATCTCTGATGGGGGAAAAGCAATCAACAAATACCACCAACATAGTCAAACATAATCCAAATATCGTCCCCATACTATTTTTTGTGACGAGTTTTGAAGATTCGTCTAGTAGAGGGACGTTCCTGACGCAACCTTACCTTATGTTGCATCCATCGTACTGAAAGACCACATCCCAGAAATAATTTCGAGCACCCGGAAAAGTGTCGAAAGAGTGTCGAAAAAGTGTCGAAACAAAGTCGGACGAATGTCTCCCAGGGCCCGACACGTGAAATCCCTCATGCTTCGGTACTTTTTTTATGCTCGAAATGATGTCTGGCGATCAAGGCTAAGTAGGTTGGAACATCATAAACCTTACCGTCGGTATCGGCACCTGTTCTTCTTCCTCTTCTTCTTCCTGCCCTCCATCCTTGAAGGGGCCCTGGGACACACAAATAAATAGACACAAATAACCAGACTCCCCTTCTGTTCCAATAGTTTCGGCGTCTTCGTCTCCCCCCCACGGCCCATAGTTTCCCATATATCCTCGGGGGAATCGACGATTCCTTGTGCCTCTGTGCTTTTTTCCTCGTAAATCCTTCTCCGTCGGCGTTGGCGGCGAGGGCGACGGTCGCCGAGGGCCGCCGCCGAGGCCCTCGAGCGCGGACACTCGGGGCGGCGGGGCCGAAACCCTCTGCATGCAGCAGATTTCGTACCCCCCCCCCCTTTCCCTATCCCCCCCTCTCCTTCGGCCCGAAAATCGAAACGAATCAAATCGGAGGAATCGAACTGAGCCCCGAGGAGGCGGCGGCGACGGAGACGTTCGGCGGCCGTCGGCGGCCCTCGGCGGCGGCGCGCCGTCGTCGACGACGATGGCCCGAGCGTCGGCGGCGAGGGCGACGGCCGCCGAGGGCCGCCGCCGAGGCCCTCCGAGCGCGCGGACACCCGCGGGGGGCCTCGCTGGCCCCTCTCGGTTTCGTCTTCGTCTTCGTTTTTCGTCCTCGCTTTGCCTTCAATCCACCTCTACCGCAAAACTGAAGTCGAGACGAAAGCGGCCCACGAGATCGCCACAAGCACCGTTTAGGTCCAGCCCTGGAATCCCAGGTCGAAGCGGAATCGGAGGCCAGGGAAACCGCAACCTTGGGTCGGGCGTGCCCCCCTCTGTAGGCGAACCTTGGGCGACAGATAGGACTGGCCAAACATACGCGACGATGGTAAACCAGGTCGCCCCAAAACCTTTCTTGGACAATTCTTGCACATTCCTCCTGTGGAGGGACAGTAGGGGAACAAAAAGTGACACAAACATAAAAACTCGGAGGTCCGCGCGGACTGCTCGGATCGGAGGGCGCCGGACCCTCCTCCCTGGCGCGCGGAGCGCGCCAGGGGCGGCGCCGGAGGTACCGCCGGGGGGCCCCAGCGCCGATCCGAGAAATCCGCGCGGACCTCCGAATTTTCATGTTTATGTCACTTTTTGTTCCCCTGTGCACATTCCTCCTGTGGATGACTACCTACCAGACCACCCCAACCCAACCCGAAGACCCGAATTTGACCCGAATTTCGGGTTGGGGGGGGGTACGGATTCCATGTGTTTTTTCAACGTTCCCCGACCCCCCCCCACTGGACATCGAGGCTAAATTTGGGCCTTCGGGTTGGGTTGGGGTGGTTTGGTGGGTGGTGAGTGGAGGGACAAGCCCGACACAATCCGCATCGGAATCCCAAGTCGGAGCGGAATCGAACGCCGCTGAGCCCGTAACCGAATCGACCCGAACGCGCGGAGCGCGGCGCGCGGCCGTCTGCGCGCCCACCGCGGGTGGGGCGGGCCAGGAGGAGGAGGAGGAGGAGGAGGAGGAGGAGGAGGAGGAGGAGGAGGAGGAGGAGGAGGGAGGAGGGAGGAGGAGCAGGAGGAGGAGCAGGAGGAGGAGGAGGAGGAGGAGGAGGCGGGGGAAGGAGGAGGAGGAGGAGGAGGAGGAGGAGGAGGAGGAGGAGGAGGAGGAGGAGGAGAGAGGAGGAGAGGGAGGAGGAGGAGGATGAGGAGGAGGAGGAGGGAGGAGGAGGAGGAGGAGGAGGAGGGGAGGAGGAGGGGAGGAGGAGGAGGAGGAGGAGGGAGGAGGAGGAGGAGGAGGAGGAGGAGTAAGTGAGGAGGAGGAGGAGGAGGAGGACTGCGCCTGCGGGGGCGTCCTCGGCGCCCCCGGCGAGCGCCGCCCGCAGCGACGCGGGGTGCCGCGCGGCGCAGGGCCAGCTCGAGGCGGAGGCCCCGCCGGCCTCCAGGGAGCAGGGCGGGAGAGGAGGCCTCCCAGGTTTGGGTTTAGGTCGGGCCTGTCCCCCTGCAGGGGGATTTTCGACGAGGAATAAAACATACCCCAGGAATGCTCCCAAAAGGTCAAAAACATTGAAAAAATAGTCCCCAGACTATTTTTGGACTATTTTGGAACTATTTTGGCGGTATTTTCGGGCATGTCCTCCTACAGGCGGATCTTGAAAGAAAAATAGAAAAAAATCAAGAAGCGTGCAAACATATTCAAAATCATAGAAACATCGTCCCCAGGCAACTTTTGAATACCACTTTTGAATATTGCTCCTGTAGAGGGACATGCCCGACTTAATCCTAGATGGGGTCCGAATCGATGGGGTCTCCGAAGATTGCACCGCATCGCACGCCGATGTACGCATCCCCGATGCATCGGCGGCGTCGTCGAGGAGAGCGTCGGGCTCCACATCGAAGAGGAGGAGGAGGAGAAGGAGGAGGAGGAGGAGGAAGGAAAAAGGAGGAGGACGAGGAAGACGAGGAGAAGGAGCAGCAGGAAGAGGAGGAGGAGAAGGAGAAGGAGAAGGGTGACCCAGACATCCGGCGCTTCGAGAAAATTGAGACGGAGATGGTTCAGCGGTTTCGGCCTCTCGGGGCCCTTGCTGGGCCTCCGGGCTGTCGAAAACGACTCGGGACGAGCAACTGGTCCCAGGGAAATGGTCGAGAGGTCGGGGGCCGTGATTGGCGGTGCGCACAAGGGGGTAGGGGAAAGGGGGACGGCTTCGTCACCCTCCTCCTCCTCCTCCTCCTCCTCATCATCATCATCATCATCATCAGCATCAGCATCAGCATCAGCATCAGCATCAGCATCAGCATCAGCATCAGCATCATCATCATCATCATCATCATCATCATCATCATCATCATCATCAGTATCACCATTAGCATCAGCATCATCAGCATCAGCATCATCATCATCATCAGCACCAGCATCATCATCAGCATCATCATCATCAGCATCATCAACAGTATCATCATCATCAGCACCATCATCATCACCACCATCATCATCACCACCATCATCATCATGTTCATCATCATCATCATCAGCATCATCATCATCATCCTCATCATCACCATCATCATCACCACCATCATCCATCAGCATCCCACCAGGCATCATCAACATATCAGCATCATCAGCATCATCCTCATCATCGTCGTCATCCTCATCCCTCATCCTCATCATCAATCATCGGCATTTATCATCCACCATCATCAATCGTCATCATCATCGTCATCATCAGCATCAGCATCAGCATAGCTCAGCAATCAGCATCACATCAGCAATCATCATCATCATCATCATCATCATCATCATCATCATCATCATCATCATCATCATCATCATCATCATCATCATCATCATCATCATCATCATCATCATCATCATCATCATCATCATCATCATCGGCATCATTACTTTGCCCCCCACACACACACACACACGTTTCGTGGCTCCACCGAAGGCTCCACTCCAACATGAAGGTCCGCATGCCGCCATTCGTCACTTGGTCACGCCTCTCACGTGCTCCGTGGCCCCGCATGTAAGCTCCGCCGAAGGCTACAGCAGGAAGTCGGAGGGCCCGCAGGCCGTCCTCCACCCGCTTCGGCACACCTCACACACGTTTGGAGTCCCGAAGCAGTGCGGAGACACACCGTGCGGTGACCTCGAAAGCCCCCGAGACCTCACCGCACGGTCCGTCACCGCACGGTGTTGGGACCCTGGAGGCCCCCTGTCGCCCGAGACGTCCTCGGAGAAAGACCCGAGTCCCAAAACCGTGCGGCGACCCCGAATCCCCCACGACTCACCGCACGGTGTGGTCACCACACCGTTTGGGGACCCCCGACCCACACACGTGCCGTTTGGGCGTGGCTTCATGGGGGGGTCACAAATGGGGGGGTCAGAAACGGTCCCCTTTCGTGCCCCTTTCGGGACCCTCCAGAGCCCCAGGGGGCTCGTTTAGGCACCGTTTGGGTACCTTTTCGGACCACCCTCGCCGCCCCCCCATTTATGACCCCCCCATTACGCAGCGCCCAAGCCGTGGCCTGAAAGGGATCTCCGGGACAGGCTCCAGTCGGAGGGCCCCCCCCCACTCTGGCGCACCCCCTGCGCGCTTCGGGGCCCCACGGGGCGCTCCACCGAAGGCTTCGGCCCTAGGCCGGACGGGCCCGCACGCCGCTCCCACCCCCACCCTCCTCCTCCTCCTCCTCCTCCTCCTCCTCCTCCTCCTCCTCCTCCTCCTCCTCCTCCTTCCTCTCCTCCTCCTCCTCCTCCTCCTCCTCCTCCTCCTCCTCCTCCTCCTCCTCCTACTTGGCCCTCAAAGGGCGCTCACGCGAAGGCTCCAGCAGAAGGGCCCGCATCCACCCCCTACCCACCTTGGCACACCCCTACCCACCTTGGCCCTATGGTTAGGTCGGGCCCGTCCCCCTACAGGGGGATTTTGGGCTCCCCAAATGACCCAAAATAGTAAACAAATCGTCTCCAGACTATTTTTGGACTATTTTTGAATATCCCTCCTGTAGCGGGACAGCCCAGACTTAACCCTATGGGGCGCTCCACCGAAGGCTCCAGTGGGAGGGCTCGTATGCAACCACTCCTCGACTTCTGGCACATCCCTCACACGCTTCGTGGCCATAGAGGGCGCTCAACTCCAATCGGAGGGCCCGTATGCCACTCCCCCGTCCACTCTGGCACACCCCTGACTTTGGCACATCCCTCTCGTTCCGTGGCCCTATGTTGAGCTCCACCGAAGGCTCCAGTCGGAGGGCACCCGGGCGGGCTGCCTGCCCCCTCCTTCGTTTGACTTGCCTTGCGTGACTCGCAACTGCGTCATGGCTGGGTCCTTCTCCCCGGTAAACTTGCCTCTCCTCCCGCCACAAGGCTGGAGCCCCACGGCAAGAAGCTGAACACCTTTCTGGAAATCTCGAGAACACAAATAGCATCGGGGGGAGGGCGGGTAGGAGAGGGGAGGTGGGGAGAACAAGGAAAGTGAGAGGGATAGGACACTGGAGGAGGAAACAGGACGAGAGGAAAGGGATGGGAGGAGGGACGAGGACAGGCGATGATGGAGGAGGAGGGCGAGGAGGAGAGCGGGTACGCCAGTGGACGAGGGGGAGGAGGAACAGGATGGTCACGAGAACTGGAGGGAAAATGGTAACAAGCCAGAACTACATCAAAGATGCTGCAGACCACCCTTCCGTGCCAGATCACCTTGACAGAAATCCCTGAAAGTACTGCTTTACATTAGGTCGGGCCTGTCCCACTCCAGGGGGATTGTGGTCAACAAATCAAGAATACTCCAACAATAATCAACATGCACAGAAATAGTCAAAACATTGTCCCCAGACTGTGTTTTGACTATTCTTGAATATTCCTCCCGTAGAGGGACAGGCCCGACCTAAGCTTTACACTACGGGGAGCCCACCCTTGAGAGACGAGAGCCCCATCGAGCACCACGGGCCTGCCGATGGAACGATCGCCCCGTGATGGAGAGGAACCACCCTCCAACAGAAGTGCAAGACTGCTCACTCTGATCAAACTGAAGGGGCCCTGGGACACACAAATAAATAGACACGAATAGCAGGATTCCCAACGTTTCCCCATATTTTCTGGGTTTCTGTCTTCCCCCAACTTCCCATGTCTTCCCATATTTTCCTGGGAGTCGACGGTTCATTGCGTCTGTGTGTGTTTTTCCCTCCTGATGGGGAGCCCACCCTTGAGAGACGAGAACCCGATCGAGCACCACGGGCCTGCCGATGGAACGATCGCCCCGTGATGGAGAGGAACCACCCTCCAAAAGAAGTGCAAGGATGCTCACTCTGATTATACCGGAAGGGGCCCTGGTTTCTCCTCCTGATAAGCACGTGTCAAGCGATGGTCCCGTTAGACCAGGGAAAAAGAAAGGAAAATAAAACAGGAGGATGAGGGGAGGAGGACGAGGTGAAGGAGGAGGAGGAATGCAGGTGGAGGGGAGGATGAGGCAACGATGGCAGGGGAGGAGAGAATGAGTGCGGCTTACAAACTTTCGCTACTCGACGCTCGTCGACGCTACATTGACGCTACCATCGACGCTACATGGGCGCTACATCGACGCGAATCGGCGCTTCGTCATCGATTACAAGCCGCCACCGTACGCGAATGCGCTCTAAATGCGGCATTTTGAGGATGTACAAGGCGCCAACGAGTTGCTACCAAGGGAGGGAGGGAGGGAGGAGATAAATGGGGCCTCCAAGCTGGAGTCCCAGAACGGGAGGTCGTGCCTGGCTGGCAGCCGGGAGGCCCCCAAGCAGTCCAACGACAGCTCGCCGCCGAGGGGTTCCTGGCTGCCGCTGTCGTCGCTGTGGCCGCCGACCGCCGCTGCAGCCGTCGTCGCCGTCGTGGTCGTGGTGGCCGTCGTCGGTATATAACCCGTCGTCCGTCGTCCTTCGACCTCGTCGTCGTTGCCATCGTCGTCGTCGTCGTTATCTTCTTCCTCGTCCTCCTCCTCCACCTTTCCATTCTCCTCTTCACCCTTCCCCCTCCTGATTGGCCTAAACATCGCTCCGGGATTTCTGTCGCTCCGTCTTCTATCCGCCACCGTAACACCTGTCACGCCAAGTCCTGTCTGGCACGGTTTCCTTCTGATGGCCCCCCCCTCTCGAGGCTCCTTGGGTGCCCGACGCCTCCTCAGCACTCTGGAAGGCCTCCAAGATGACCAAGCTGATCTGCCAAGACGGCTCCCAAGGCGGCCCAGGCAAGTCACCAAGGCCGCCAAAATGACCAAATATCCCCCCTATGACGACCGTAGACGGCCCCAACACGGCCCACGATGGCTTCCAGGCGGCCCAAGAGACCCACAAGACGGCCCAGGAGGGCCACAAGAGGAGCCTCCTACAATACCCAAAAAGGCCACAATCATTCGTAACACCCCGCGGTTGCGGATAAGAGTGAAGGGGCGGCGGGGTCGTCCGCAGTCTGCGAGGCGCTGAATAAGCCTGCCGCAAGTGCTTATGTTTTGTGCAACGAACCCACCGCATGCGCCGAATTTTAATAAAAACAGCGTGGATGGGCCGCGGGGTGGGTCGCGGGGTGTCTCGCAGGCGGGTCGCGGGCGAGGACGACGACAACAACGAAACAACAACAACAACCAACAACCAACAACAACTACAGCAGCAGCAGCAGCAGCAGCAGCAGCAGCAACAACAACAACAACAACAACAATCATTTTACCCGAACGCGTGGTGTTCTCCCCAGTGCCAGGGTTTTCATACGACACCAGGCAATACCCCCACTTCGTGGGGGGGCATTACAAGCTCTACCAAATATCCAAACGACTCTTCGCGACCACCCAAACCCAGCTTCCCGCCCTATGACGTTGGGACACTTCACTTCGTGGCGTGCGGACGACCGTGGCTACTACACTGGCGTGGGGTACACACCCACAGAACTTGGTCACTTATTCGGGGCGCGCATGTGCCCAGCATGGTGCAATTGTGCCATACAATACATAATACAGAGAGACAGAGAGAGAGACAGAGAACCCAATGGTTTTTGGAGATTTCGGCGTGCGCGCGCAAAAAACGAATGTGTCCCGCATGGTATTATTTGACAGGGATGATGGCCCTGGCAGGTGCGCAACCGTTGTCGCAGAAGTTCGAAAAAGTTGCTCGCAAAAGCCCGTTTGACAGAAATGTTTAAAAAGTGTTGGGTTTCCTACGAATCCTCAAGAGCGCGCGGGATGAGATTTTGACAATTTGTTGTTGAAAAACCATTGGTTTTTTGATGTTTTTATGTTAAAATCGCTGCGAACACTAAGGTTTTGGAAGGTTTTCGTCTTGCGCGCGCGAATGTCCACTTTACCTTATTTTTTGCAAGGGATTCTTGAAATTTGATTATATAGAACAAGAAATGTCATTTTATAGTGTTTTTTGCAAGGGAAAACGGATTACAACAAAACAACCGGATCTGGATCACATCCCCGATCTTGATGACAACGTATTAACCTGAGCTTCCTCACTGAAAATGATGAAAATTAAGACTGCGCCTAAGCGGCGCATGGGGCCGTGCACCAGGCCTCCAACAAATAAATAATCTTTAGAATTAATAATGTTCAAACAACAACAACTACAACAACCACATACCACAACAACAACAACAACAACACCAACACAACAACACCAACACAACACCAACAACAACAACAACAACCACACCACAACAACAACCAACAACAAAACCAACCAACAACAACAACACCAACTACCAACAAAACAACACCAACAACTACAACAACACCAACACCAACAACAAACACAACAACAACAACACCAACACAACAACAACAACAACAACAACATCCACAACAAAACAACAACAACCAAACAACCACAACAACAACTACAAAAACAACCCAACACCAACAACAACAACACACAACAGCACAGCGACATCAAACAACAACAACAACAACAACAACAACAACAACAACAACAACAACAACAACAACAACAACAACAACAACAACAACAACAACACCAGCAGCAACAACAACAACAACAACAACAACAACAACAACAACAACAACAATCATTTTACCCGAACGCGTGGTGTTCTCCCCAGTGCCAGGGTTTTCATACGACACCAGGCAATACCTCCACTTCGTGGGGGGAACGCTGTGGTGCCAGGGTTTTCATTACCCCCACTTCGTGGGGGGGCAGCAAGCTCTACCAAATATCCAAACGACTCTTCGCGACCACCCAAACCCAGCTTCCCGCCCTATGACGTTGGGACACTTCACTTCGTGGCGTGCGGACGACCGTGGCTACTACACTGGCGTGGGGTACACACCCACAGAACTTGGTCACTTATTCGGGGCGCGCATGTGCCCAGCATGGTGCAATTGTGCCATACAATACATAATACAGAGAGACGAATGTGTCCCGCATGGTATTATTTGACAGGGATGATGGCCCTGGCAGGTGCGCAACCGTTGTCGCAGAAGTTCGAAAAAGTTGCTCGCAAAAGCCCGTTTGACAGAAATGTTTAAAAAGTGTTGGGTTTCCTACGAATCCGCAAGAGCGCGCGGGATGAGATTTTGACATTTTTTGTTGAAAAACCATTGGTTTTTTGATGTTTTTATGTTAAAATCGCTCCGAACACTAAGCTTTTGGAAGGATTTCGTCTTGCGCGCGCGAATGTCCACTTTACCTTATTTTTTGCAAGGGATTCTTGAAATTTGATTATATTAGAACAAGAAATGTCATTTTATAGTGTTTTTTGCAAGGGAAAGCGGATTACAACAAAACAACCGGATCTTGATCACATCGAATTACCTGAGGCTTCCTCACGAAAATGATGAAAATGTAGCTGCGGCCTAGGCGGCGCAGGGGGGGCGCGCACCAGGGGGCCCAACAATAATTATTCTTTAGAATTAATAATGTTCAACAACAACAACAACAACAACAACAACAACAACAACAACAACAACAACAACAACAACAACAACAATTACTAGCACGTGGGGACACTCCGTTCTCACCAGTGCCAGGGTTTTCATAGGAGGCGGGCAATACCCCCACTTTGTGGGGGGGCCGGTTCAAGCTCTACCAAATTTCCAAACGACTCTTCGCCACCACCCACACCCAGCTTCCCGCCCTATGACGTTCGGACACTTCACTTCGTGGCATGCGGACGACCGTGGCTACTATTCAGGGCCCCGCGGCCGACGACGACGGCGTGCGCGCGCGAAGAAAAAACGAATGTGTCCCGCATGGTATTATTTGACAGGGATGATGGCCCTGGCAGGTGCGCAACCGTTGTTGCAGAAGTTCGAAAAAGTTGCTCGCAAAAGCCCGTTTGACAGAAATGTTTAAAAAGTGTTGGGTTTCCTACGAATCCGCAAGAGCGCGCGGGATGAAATTTTGACATTTTTTTTTTTTTTTTTTTTTTTTTTTTTTTTTTTTTTTTTAAAAAAAAAAAAACATGTTTTTTTTTTTGATGTTTTTATGTTAAAATCGCTACGAAAACTAAGGTTTTGGAAGGATTTCGTCTTGCGCGCGCGAATGTCCACTTTACCTTATTTTTTGCAAGGGATTCTTGAAGTTTGGTTATGTTAGAACAAGAAATGTCCACTTTAGCATACTTGTTGCAAGGGAAAGCGGGCCGTAACAAAACAACCGGATCCGGACCAACCCGTTTTGCCTGAGACTTCCTCACGAAAATGATGAACATGTGGCTGCGGCCTGGGCGCGGCGGGGGGGCCATGCACCAGGGGTCCCAACAATACTTATTCTTTAGAAGTAATAATGTTCAACAACAACAACAACAACAACAACAACAACAACAACAACTTTAAGACTGTTCGCCCTCATCTGCTCAAGTGTCCAATAACGCCTATCTGCCAACCCCTCGATACCCGCCCTCTTCGTCTTCGATCGAACCCCTTTCGAGGAGTATACCTCTCTTCCCCGCAAGCCGGGCCCCGGCCAGCGGCGCGGCGGCCGCGGGCGGACCGTCGGCCTGGCCAGCGGCAGCGCTGATCGGCGGGGCGGCCGCGGACCGTCGACCCGACCCCAAGAGGGACGGACCGGGGACCGACCACGACGACGACGACGTCGACGACGACGGCGACGACGACGACAGCGACGACGACGACGGCGAAAGCGAGAGCGAAAGAGAACGACAGCAGGGCCACAAGCACACGAAGTAGGCCACGAAGGGCAACAGCAGGGACACGAAGGGAATGCGTATGTGGCCACGAAGAGCGCGAACGAGAGGGGGCCACGAAGGGCAGATAATGCGGGGCCACAGAAAGCAACGATGGGGCCACTGAGGGTAGGAACTGGGCCACGTAGGACAAATGCATATGGGGCCACCACGGGCGCGAACGAGCGGGGGCCACGAAGGGCATACACATATGGGGCCACGAAGGGCAGCGAGGGGGCCACGAAGGGATGCAGCGGGGCCACGAAGGACAGCGAGGGGGCCACCAAGGGCTGCAACGGGGCCACGAAACAAAGCGACGGGTCCACGAAGGGCAGCGAGGGGGCCGCGAAGGGCTGCAACGGGGCCACGAAACAAAGCGACGGGGCCACGAAGGACTGCAACGGGGCCACGAAGGGCAGCGAGGAGGCCACGAGGGGCTGCAACGGGGCCACAACGGGCAGCGAGCGTAAATTATGCAAGATTCGCGTCCCCGAAGCTACATTACGCCATATGTTCGCCCCCGACGCCATAAACCCTCGAACTCACGCGATTGTTGCGTCCCCGACGCCTGACACGTTCGTAAATTATACAATGTTCGCGTCCCCGAGGTCATACACCCTTATACATTATAAACTGTTCGCGCTCTCGAGGCCATGAACCATCGCAAATTACACCGTATCCGCATCCCCGAAGCCATACAACCTTGTACAGTACGCAATAGTTGCGTCCTCGAGGCCAGAAGCCATTGTAAATTGCGCGAAACCATACACCCTTACCAGTTACGTAATATTCGCGCCCTCGAAGCCATAAGCCGTTCGACAATCTTGCAACCTTCGTAGTTGTGAAATATCCCGCAGTGTGTGAAGTCTGGACATTGCTTCGCGTCAGCGTCCAGACAGCCCAGCACAGCTCTGGCAAACCCTCTTCTAAGAGAGGGGGGCCGGCGGCATGGGGGTGAAGCCCTTGCGGATAACAACACCAACATCAACAGCAACAAAATCTGAAACTGAAACATCAACACTAACAATAACAGCAACGACAACAACAACAAGACACACCAATTTAAGACTGTTCGCGCTTATCTGCTCGCTTACCGTTCAACACGTATATCCCAAACCCTCGATACCCGCCCGGGAGGTATATCTTTCTTACCTGCAACGTGTAATTCGTGCAGCCCCTAAGGCAGGGGAAGAGAGGGCGGATATAAGGAATGGATAAGGGGGAGGGAGGATGGAGCACGAGAGAGATTACCAGGAGGGGCCAGGAGCAGAAAACACGTGGCAGAACCCGACGGGCAGATCTGGCGGGTAGACCCTAGCGGGCGGGTCGGGAAGAAGGGCCCAGGCGGCCAGGTCGAGCAGGCGGGTTGCTGAATGAAGCGTGCGTCCTGCATGAATTGTGAGGGAGTCTCGAGCGACAGCGCGATTCCCGAATAATTCATATCCACAGCGAGAGCGTGATTCCTGTGTCGAGGGCGCGGTGCCTGAATCAATTGCGAGGAAGTCCTACTCGAGCGCGCGATTTCTGCATACATTGAGGAAGTCCCGCGCGAGAACGCGATTTTGGAAAACAATGTGAGCCAGTATCAGGTGGGAGCCCTTGTTGCTGTAACCCAGAGACCGACGACATAGTTTGGTGACTTGCGGCTTTTCCTCTGTAAGGAGAGTCCAACACCAACAGCAACAACACCAGCAACAACAGCAACCACAGCAGCAACAACAACAACACCACAACAACAGAGCAACATCAACTCTCTTCACAACGTAATCCGACTTCAAGCGCGCGCCCAAGGACAGTAAATGACCGTGCGGCCCCCTCACTCTGACATTTGCCTGCGGTTGTTGACGGACGTTCGTATTCCTGTTCTTCTCGACCTTCCATCAGCTCAAGAAGACGGCCCGAGAGTCGTCCTAGCTGGCCCCAAGATGGCCCAACAGGTCCAGAAGAGGGCCTCAAGACGGCCCCAAGGACAGACCTAACATGGTCGTACAAGGCCCTTCGACGTCCCAAGACGGCACCAAGAAGGCCCCAAGACAGCGCCAAGAGACTCCCCATGTGGCCAAGAGGGCCCCAAGACGGCCCAAGAGGGCCTCAAGACGGCTCCAGGAAACCTCAAAACGGCCCCAGACGAGCCTAGGACAGCCCCAAGGCGACCCAAATGAAGTCCATGAGAGCTCCTCACGACATGCAGACTTAAGATGCAAATTGTCACATGTGACTGCCTTCCTCTTCTTCCTCCTGCTCCTGCTCCTCCTTCACACCATCACCGTTCTTATCGTCAGCATGGCTGTCCCGAACCTGGGGACGCAAGGTGTTAAACACTACAGTCTCCCGTGCCTCCTCAAGAGCGTCCATATGTGATCTGATATGAAGGTCGTTACTGGTCCCGCTCCCCCTGGTTACGTCACGTCTCGCCGCCTGCTTTCACAGCGATGCCTGTGTACCCCACAGCAACTGAGTTCACAACACTGGCTGCGTACATCATGACTGGTGCAGCAAAGGCAGATGTGTGCATCACAATGCCTGTCCTCACACAACATCGTCCGTGTGTATCAAGTCTACTGCTTCAACACCATGCGTGCGCACCACAATGCCTGTATACCTCAATGCCTGTGTACACTAAAAAACCGGTGTACGCATTCCAGGCCCCGACCGGGACACATCCGGAAACTTTTAGGGAGCCCAAACGTGTGAAATTCAAACATATTGATCTGTGTGGTTCTTGATTTTTCTGGCCCCAGCTGAGGTCCCGTGATGCCCGTGTACACAATGCATTTCGGGGTAGTACCTGTGTATACCACACTGACCATGTGCACCTGCTCGCTTGTGTACACACTCATGCTTCTGTCCACCACACAGATGCTTCAGCAACATCTGTGTGCACCACAGCGCCCGTGTACGTACACCGCAGCGGCTACGTACGCGACAAATCATGTGTGAACAACAAAGCCTTTGTAATGATTGTGTACACCATCATACCTGTGTACACCAAGAATGCTCCTGCACCTACATACGTGCGCACCACAACGCCTGTGTACACTACAATGCTGGCGTACACGACAGCAGCCGTGTGCACCACAGCGATTATATTCACCACACCGCCTATGCACACCAAAATGCCCGTGTACACCACAGATGCTGCTGCAGCAGGTGCGCACCACTACGTCTCAATGCCTGTGTACACCGCATCGCCTGCGCACACACAACCTATGTGCACCTCCGACGGCCTCTGGAACCCTCCGGACGCAGCCGTCGGCGGTCGTCGTCGTCGTCGTCGCCATCGCCGTCGGCGTCGCCGTCGTCGTCGTCGTCGGCGTCGGCGTCGGCGTCGGCGTCGGCGTCGACGTCGGCGTCGGCGTCGGCGTCGTCGTCGTCGTCGTCCTCGGCGTCGCCCTCCTCGGCGTCGTCGTCCCCGTCGTCCCAAACCACTCCCAGCCTGGACAATACCGAGCCCCCCCCCACCATCCGCGGGCGCAAATCGTGACGTTACCAGGCCCCTTGCCCCCCCCCCTCCAACAACGGCCGCTCTCGCTGAAGGATAAAAAACAGCTCCTTGGACAATCGCCCCCAGGAAAGCGGGCTGGTGCGGTGGGGGGACTTGCCGTCGCAAGCTGCACACTTCTCGCCCCTGAGACATGAACGTGGTGAACAACATTCGCAATACAAAACGATGCATACGGATGGCTGCTCAGCCGAAGCCGCAGAACAAATACATCATATGGCCAACCACACTGAGACAACGGAAGATCGATACGGAACGCACACTGGAGGAAGCGGCTGCGGGGTAGCGTATACCTGAAAGCGCACTGATGAGACGGAGAGAATGGATGAACAAACCGGGGAAGAGAGAGAGAGAGAGAGATGGAGAGGTAGAGAATGAGGGAGATGGAGAGCATAAGAAGAGTAAGAGAGGGACGGAGAGACAGAGAGAGAGAGAGAGACAGAGACTCACCATTTGCTTGCTAATCTGGAAGGTAAGAGGACGACCAACAATTCAACTGAACATGAGAAGACGACTCAGATCAAGAGCACGACGAATCATCGAAATCATAATCTGCAGAATCATCGACATCATAGTCCGCTGAACATGGCAGCACTGCAGCCCGCCCCATCCCGTCCCCTCCGCGCGGATGGCCACGCCGAGCAGGTACTGCGCCTCGGCGGCGCCGACGTCGGCGGAGAGGCTCTCCTCGGCGCGGAAGGGGGGGGGGCGGGGGGGGAGGGGGAAGTGGATGCTCGGAGGCCTAGGGAAGGGGGGGGGGGGGGGGGGGGGGGGGGGGGGGGGGGCGGGGGGGGGGGGGGGGGAGGGGGGAAGGGGATGCTCGGTGCTCGGAGGCCGAGGATCCACGACCGAGCCCTCGGGGCCAGGTCGATGGGGGCAAGTTTTTTTTCCGCGACGCGCAGTGCGGCAGCCGACCCAAGCGAAACGCTCGTCCTGCGAGCGAGAACGAACCATCGCTGACCGCATCCGACCGCGAGCTCCCGTCGAGCGAGAGAGAGAGAGAGAGGAGATCGTCTTCGGCCGCGCGCTGCCGTCGAGTGAGAGAGAGAGAGAGAGAGACAGAAAGATGTTTCGCGGCGCTCATCGTGCATGAGACTGCCCAGGAGAGGGGGCAAACGGTGATCCCGCCGCAGCGCCGCGAGGGTATCGTCTGGAGTTCCCTCCCTGCCCGTGCGCGGCCCGCGCTGCTTTGTTTACCCCTCGCACGCCGTCGGGCGCGCGGCCGCCGCGCGGGCGCCTGCCGCTCGCCAGGTGGGGCCGCGCTCCGATGCGATCATTATCCAGCTGTGCCACCGTTGCCTCTGATGTTAGGTCGGGCATGTCTCCCTACAGGCGGATGTAGGACGACAAGTAAAACGTAGTCAGACAGTATTCAACAAAAGTCAGAAGTGGTAGACAACTCGTCCCTCGACTATTACTTTGTATTTTTGGATTTTCTTCCTGTAGAGGGACAGGCCCTACTTAACTCTCATGATCTGGCAGGGAGGGTGGGGAAGGGGCGGGGCCGGCTGGCTCGATCGGCGTGGCTTGATTATGCTCGACCTCCTGCTTCTGCTCCCGTTTCTCCGCCTCCGTCCCCCGTCCCATCCCGGATCTCCTCCGCGCAAGCTCACATCATCTTCGCTGACTCCTCGACGGGCGACTCCCGTGCCGCCCCCTCCCCCTCCATTCCCCCCCTCCCCTTTACCGTTCGCCGCCCCCCCCCCTCCTCCCGCATCTCTCCTCCTCCCTCCACCGCCCTCCTCCCCCCTCCCTCCGTCCCCTCCCTCTCCCACCTCCACCCTCCCCCCTTCTCCCCACCTCCCACCCCCTCCTCCAACGACTACGCTTGGGGGACGACGGCGACTCCTGCGCCAGCCGGGCCGCGAGCTCGCTCTCGGCCCCGAGCGGCGGCGCGGGCGCCTGGGCGCTGAAACGAGTGGTGGGGGGGGGGAAGGGCGGAACAGGGCAGGGCAGAGGAGGAAGGGGGCGGGGGGAGGGCGGGGCAGGGAGGAAAGGAGAGGGAGGGCGGGCACAGGGGAGGACCGGGGGGAATCGGCGAGGAAGTTTCGTAGGCCGGGAAACATGTCATGATCATACTGACTCAGGAAGCGTCCCAAGAGTTCCAGAGGATCTAGCTGCGCAGCCGGTGCGGAACCTAGGGAAGTATAGGAAATCGAGTGAAGCCTTGAAAAACCTGGAAGGCATCATTTCCTCCACGACCTCTTCCTCCCCTGATTCTGTCTTCTGTATCCACATCACCTGAACGACGCTTGCACTCAGGAGTCTCTCCTTCTGGTCTCACGAGACTATGCCTGCGTGTCGGGGTGGCGGCTCCGTGCCGGCCGTCGCCGCTGCTCCGCCGTCGCCGTCGCGTTGCTCGGGTGCTCTTCCCTTCCTTTGCTAAGGACTGGGCCTGGCCATCGCTCGGACGTCCATGTCCTGTGTTTTTTTCGTTTTCGTGAGTGTTTTTTTCGCGAAGAGATCAAGGATGCTCCTCGACGGTCCGCGCCGAAAGAAAAATGCACACGTCCGAGCGATGCCAAGGGGCCTGCGGGCCGCTCGGGCCTCCACGTGGCCGCCATCGCCACCTCGTCGCCACTTCGTCGCCCAGGCATGCGGGCCGCTCTGGCCGCCGCTGGCCGCCGTGGCAGCCTCCTCGCCGCCCGCCGCCTCGTGGCCGCCCGCTTTGCACTGCTTCGCGTGGCCTTGCAGGGCGTCGCATTGCTTTGCACGTCTTGGCACTGCTTGGCAGTGCTCCGCATTGCCTTGCATTGCTCTGCATTGCTTCGCATTCCTTTGCGCTGTTTTGCGCTGTTGTGCGTCATTGCACTGCAATCGCACCGCTTTACAATCGCATTATGTTACACTGCGTTGCAACGATTTGCATTGCTTTGTACTGCTATGTCGTAACTTGCATTGCTCTGCATTGCTTTGCATTGTGTTGCGCTACGTTGCATTTCGTCGCGCTATTTTGCAATGCATGACTTTGGTTTGCAATGCTTCCGTTGCCTTGCTTTGCACCACATAATTTGCATCGCGTAGACTGCGCCACATAACCTGCACAACCCAGACTGCACCGCACGTACTGCACCACATGGACTGCACCACTTTAGATTGCACCGCGTAGCCTACACAACGTAGAATGCTAGAACACACTGCTTGGGGTCCGCGCTGGCCAATAACACACGCACGCGCACCCCCCCCCCCCCACCCACCCACCCACCCACCCACCCACCCACCCACCCACCCACCCACCCACACACACACACACACTTTGCGTCGGCGGCTAGGCAGAGTAACTGCGCTGGCGATGAGATACCTAATCGGGGGTACCGTTGTAGCGAATTGTTGAACCATGCAGGAGTAGGGGAGAGGGCAGAGGACGCGGCCGAGAAGGAGAGAAGGGAGGGGAGCTAGGCCGCTCAGGGGGACGGGTCACGGCCCGAGCGTGTATATATATATATATATATATATATATATATCTCTATAGAAAGAGGTATACGCACACACCTGTTCGGCTGCACGCCCCAATCAAGAGGACCAAGGTGAGTGAGGAAGGAGACCTGGCGATTCTCTCCCCTTGCTCTGCTGGTGATGCCCGAGTTGGCAGACGCCCTTCCAGGCAGGCCTCGCAGCAACGAACTCATGATGATGATGATGATGATGATGATGATGATGATGATGATGATGATGATGATGATGATGATGGTGATGATGATGATGATGATGATGATGATGATGATGATGATGATGATGATGATGATGATGATGATCGTGGTGGTGGTAGTGGTGGTGGTGGTGATGGTGGTGGTGGTGACAATGGGATCTATGGGGGAGAGAAATGATAGGGAGCGTTCGATGCCTAGGCAACGAGTGTCTCCTGAAGGTGGCGCTGGTGCGATGCCTGGTAGGAAACGGTGCTGCTGGTACCCCCCCTCCGTCCTCATGCTCATCCCGCTCCGAGGGCGGGGGTGGGGGGAGGACGGCAGAAGCACATGCTGCGCGGGTACTTGGAGGAATTCTCGTCTCTTCCACCTCGGCATCCCCCCCCTTCGCGCACTCCTCCTCCGATGGCAAAAAGGCGACCACGACAACGACGACGGCCGCCACAAGGACGGCAACGACGACGCCCGAGGCGACGACGACCAAGATCAGGAGGGGAAAAAACACACAGACACAATTAATCCTCGATTCCCAGCAAAATATGGGAAAATATGGGAATTGGGGGAGAAGACAAAAACCCAGAAAATATGGGAAAATATGGGGACTAATTTTATTTGTGTGTATTTATTTGTGTGTCCTAATTTCCCTTTACAAGACCACGAAGCCAGCGCCGAGAACGCTTGCGACGGCGACTCCGACGACGACGGCGACCGAGACGACGACGGCGACGGAGGCGGCGACGGCCTCCCCGAGAGGGGCGCGGGGGCCTCTGGCCGGGGCAGGAACAGCTCCCCTGGGCACCGCGGGGAGGGCTGCTGCCTCGGCCTCCGCGGGGCCCCGCAGGGGGGGAAGGAGGGAGGGGGAGGCTGAAGGGAAACTGGGACACACAAATAAATACACACAAATAAAAAGATTCCCCATATTTTCCTATATTTTCTGGGTTTTTGTCTTCCCCACCACTTCCCATATTTTCCCATATTTTGCTGGGGATCGACGATTAATTGTGTCTGTGTTTTTTCCCCTCCTGAGAGGCGGAGGCGGGGAGGGAGCCACATGTTATGTTGCTCCCATCGTACTTGAGGGCCACATCCCCCAAAATAAGTTCGAGCACCCAGAAAAGTGCGGCAAAAGAGTGCCAAAAGAGTGTCGAGGCAGTGTCGAAAGAGTGTCTCCCAGGGCTCGACATGTGAAAACCTCGAGTTTGGGGGTGTTTTCTTGGTGCTCGAGAATTCATTCTGGTGGTCAAGGATAAAGTAGGTTGGAACATCATAAACCGTATGATTTTTCTGTTTCGTGCGTGCATTTTTTCGCAAGGTGAACAGAAATGCTCGTCGATGGTCCTCGCCGAAAAAAAAAAACATACACACACACACACACACACGTCCGAGCGACGCCAAAGAACGGGAACGGAACGCTCCAGGAACGGGAGCGGAACGGGACGCTCGGTGGTCGGTTTTGAAAAAGGGGAGGGTGCAGAACGCTCGTTCGGGCGATCACCCGGAAAAAAAGGAATCAGCACGGAACGCTCGTCCGGGCGGTTGATAGGGGGGAGGGCCGGGACGCTCCTTCAGGCGAGGGGAGGGGGGAAGGAACGGGACGCTCGTCCGGGCGATTGATAGGGGGGAGGGGCCGGGACGCTCCTTCCGGAGAGGGGAGGGGGGAGGGAACGCGACGCTCGTTCCAGCGGTCGCCTGGAGGCAATGGGGGCGGAGCGGAACGCTCGTGCTGGCGCTGGCGAATGGGAGGGGGGGGGCTGCGACGGAACGCAGCGGAGGGGGGGGTGCACGGGGCGATCGCGGGGCTCTCGCTCGGGCCATCGCCGAGGGGGCCGGTGGGTGTTGCTCACGTCGTGGCTGCTACGAGCGGGCCGCTGCGTCACCGCTCCCCGGAAGGAGGGGGAGGGGACGGGTGGGGGCACACGGAGCAGGAGGGGGGAGTGGGGAAGGAGGGGGAGGAGCATGGGGAGGGATGTGCTGCTGCTCATCTGTCCTTTTTCCTCCTCCCCCACCTCTTCCATCGTCTCTCTCCACCTCCTCGCCTCTTGCTCCTCCATCTCCTCCTCCAACTCCGCCCCCGCACCCCGTCAGCCTGCCCCTTTTCTCGTCCCTCGTTCCCCATCCCTGTTCCTTAGAAGTCCCCCCCCATGTCGCACAAAGGGCGTTTCTGTACACAGGCTGGGCCGGGCATGTCGATTTCAGACTGCCTTACACCTGACTGCCCGTTCAGCTGCAATGGGGAGGGCCAGTGTTTTCCAAAATGCGGTCCTCACCTGAACGCCACGCAACATGACGTAAACATTGCTATCAGCTGGAACTATCAAGGGCAAGTGGTTTCCAAAGTGCGGCTCTTGCCCCCCACCTCCTCTCGCATTAGTTCTAAACGTTTCCTGCTGCGGAGCCGATGGAGGCTGCTACGTCTTCAAGGTGCAGCTCTCGCGTCAGATTTCCGAAAACGATCTGCAGAACCATAGCACTTGGAGTTGCGCGACCTTGCACGGATGGAGGGCAAACGCTTGTCAAAACTGGGCTAATGCTGTACATGTTCCTTGAACTTTCCCATCCTGAATCGTTGCGCCTCTCAAGCTAGGAAGATAGGGATGGATCCATTACAAGACAGGGTCTCGCCCGCTTGGCATGGCAACCAGGCGCTCGTCAGTCAAGGTGGGCGCTTCTGGCAAAGAAAAGGACAGAATAATTGTAGAGACTTCTGGGGAAGAAGCTTGGGACGGGGGGGTGTATTGCAATATCGTTGATGCATCCTGGGTTCCATTCGTCCTACTCTGGTCCCATTCGTCCTACTTGTCCTCCTTCTCCCCGCCCTTACCCTCTCCAATGCCCCGATTGCCTTCATCTTCCCCTCCTCCTCCACGTCTCTCACCTGCCGTCCCCAAGCCCCTCCTCCTCATCCTCTGACCCCAGTCATGCTTTTCCTCATCCTTCCCCTCCTCCCCCGCCCTCCTTCATCACCTCCTTACCTGCCTCCTCTTCCTCCTCCTCCTCCTCGTTCTCCTCCTCTTCCTCCTCCTCCTCCTTCTCCTCCTCCTCCTCCCTTTCCTCCTCCTCCTCCTCCTCCTCCTCCTCATTCCCCCCCTTCATCACCATCACCATCACCATCACCATCACCATCATCATCATCAGCAGCATCAGCATCGGCATCATCATTATCAGCAGCAACAACAGGAGCATCCTCATCATCACTATTGCCATCACCATCACCATCATCATCTGCACCACAACCAACACCGTCATCATCATCGTCATCATCAGCATCATCATCATCATCTTCATCCTAATCCTCATCATCATCGTCATCATGGTCGTCGTCATCATCAACAACATCAACACAATCAC